ATATATGAATTTTATATATGTATAATTTTTCTACATTAATTCTTCAATAGAAATTCAAATGATAGTTGCGGTTTAGGAATCATATGACGGGGTTGCAGAATCATTCACATGATTTTTTTTAATGACTCTTCTATAAATTAATTAATAAATCTCTTACTGTTTAGGAGAAGATAATGATTATTTGATAACAGGAACACATCCATATCCTCCTGGACCTGGTGAGTAAACATTTGGACAAACACAATTAAATTTCAGTAGAAGAGAATATACAGTATGCAGCTCAGGGTTGAACTGTGGAGTCCTTGGTGCTCTCTGAGCTTGGTTGTTTGATTGCAGATGCTTCATTACCCAACTAGGTAACATCATCAGTGCACTAGATGCACTGTATCTAGAACAGAATTGTAAGGAATATAAGATATGGTCACTGTATATTAAGGTGGAGCATTTGATACAAAAATTAGTTTGGAAACAGTTTGAATGCATCTTTTATGAGGCAGTTGTACAAATAATATTTTCTGCTTTTAGTGATACTTATGCTATCATCCATTCTCACGTTTAATAGTTTAAATGCAGGTCTATGGCCAGTATATCTTGAAATATTTAAAAATATCAGCATATTTATAATCATAGGATCATAGGATTGGAAAAGAACTGAGGGTCTTCTAGTCCAACTCCCTCCCTAGGGCAACAGTCCTCAAACCATCCCAGACAAATGGTTGCCCAGCCTTTATTTGAAAACCTCCAGTGATGGAGCACCTGTGATTTCAGGAGGCAGGCTGTTTCACTGTTTAATAGGTCTCAGATAAGAAAATTCTTCGAGTTTGGATCTCTCTCTGTAAACATTCAAATCAAATACCCATGGGTTTTTGTTCCACCATCAGGGGTAGAATAAATTCACATTGTCTTCCTGTGACAACTCTTACAAATATTGGAAGACTGCTGTTGAGTCTCCCCTTAGTCTTCTCTTCTTTAGGCTAAACATACCCAGTTTTTTTAACCATTTGTAACATTTGGCTTCTAAGCCCCTCACCATCTTGCTGCTCTTCTCTGCATTCTTTCTAGTTCCTCAGCAGCCTAATAGAAGAATCCACCCATTCTTAGATAGAAAGGTTGCTCTGTTTTTACTAAGACATTGAGACAAAACAGAAATACTTCTTGTTTGGAATACTTTGAATCAATATATTTAGCAGGATTCCAAATAGTTTATTTTTCACTATTTTAACTAGGAATATTTTTTTTTGTTCACTTATCTGTTCAATTGCCTAGTAGATTTATATTCTTAAATTTTCTTGAATGTTCTCTATCTAGCTTCAAAAATCTTATTCAGATTCATGTGTTATATACTTTACAAACTACAGAGCTCTTTAATCTGATTTTAGTTTTTAATGTCTACTTCCAGTCACTGAATTTTCAAGCTCCTGTTTAATTTGTACAATACAAAATGAATGTTTTAACCTGTTTCAAAACCATTATGAAACTGGACTTTTAAAAATTTAAAAACCTGATTACTTTTACTATTAATGAAACTAACCAGTTGAAATATCTGTGTGACAACATTAGACACACACACACACACACACTGCAATGAATTAATCGCATTCATAGTCTATTAAATAGAATGATAATTTAAGTGGGCAATCTTCCAGTGTGGAAGACTTCACCTATGTATTCCCCTATTTTCCCTGACTATATAATTGCCTGCTGAAGTAATAGTTCCTTTTATTGTTTAAAATGTTTATTGCTTAGCTTTAATTCTATTTCTATTATTTATTTCTGATTTTAATTAAACTGGTATTATTTTATTTATGTATTGCAAAATGAAAAGTGGTATATAATTCATAACATAAATAAGAATGTCATTGTTATCATTGTTATCATTTTATTTTTCTTACTTAATTATATTCTCTTTTCTTTTTTTGAAACAAGGAGTGGCTTTGACTGCAGACACTAAAATCCAAAGGATGCCTAGTGAATCAGCAGCTCAATCATTAGCTGTGGCACTGCCTCCTTCTCAATCCAAGTAATTATATTTTATTTCATCATTAGCTAAGAAAGCAAAATGGCATTTCAGATTAATTTGGAAAACAGTCTAGAACCCAGTGGTATAAAGTGGTATTAGTTGACTCATAATGGTATGCTCCGTTTTATGATGATGATCTTTGTAATTTTCAGCAAGACATTACTTATGCTGTTGGTAATTTAAGAAAAAAGTGAAATAGGACTTAGGTAAACAGTAGCAAAGCTTAAGCAGCATGCAAGTAGATATCTTTTCTGTACCTAATGGCTTTTGAGTGCCATAGAGGATCTTTTGATGAAAGCTAGTTTGTACAGTGTCTAAAGATTTCCGTATGAGCCGGAACACAAGCCATGAACAATACAATCCTAACAGGCATCTACTCAGTAATAATTTCCATTTAATAGGACATAACATCCAAGTATGTGTGCTTAGGATTGCTGTTGAGTTAGACAACCTTAAAAATCTGAATAAGTAAATTGCAGCATAAATGACCTGACAATTAACTTCAGCTTGTTGCTGTATGATTGGTATATTAATACCAACTAACCGTAAAAAGGAAGAGGAGCCATATTGGGGCATAGCTGTCTGATCCAGCATTCTTTTCCCACAGTGGCCAGCCAAGAAGGCACAAAAAACCCCAAAATAATCTGTCACAAGGTCAAATAAATCAGTCACTGGCTAATTCAACCACAGTACAGTATAAATTTATTCCTTGAAGGCTGTATAGAAGAGCAGTATTTTAATACCCTTTCTGAATGTTACTAGAGAGGGGACCATCCAGCTATCCCAAAAGGAGGAGGCCATATCTAGAAGACCTGCAGCATACACTGTCTGCTTGTCCTTATTGGATAGACAAATTCCAGTCAGAGTAGAGTAGTAGGACAGCAATAGCACCTTTTCATTCTTATACCCAGGAATCCTTCTGGGCATTCACTCTTCCACTGGCAACATAGATTATAAACCATACTTGTCTCAATGGATGTTTACATATGATGTGTTTTTTCCTTCGGTACCACAGTAAGCACTGATATAAACTAAACAATAATGCAAGACAATAGTGAAAATTAGTGGAACCTAAGACTCATTAAATACTATGGAGTCTAATAGTCATGATTGAAACATTGCTATTTATTAATAGGTTAGCTGGATTGTGATCTGAACACATTTGTTTTTTCTGCGCTAGCATGATGATATTCCACAGGTTTTCTTGAATAGGTATATTTGTCAGTTATATACAAAGTCAATAGTCTGTTAATTCTTTATGGAGGTAAACCCACATCTTTTTTTCCCTCTCTTTGCAGAATGGAATCAAATAGAACTGCTGCTGGCATAGGTGATATATATAGACATGCTGGAATTCCTGAGCGTTCACAGGCTCCAGGTTTGACTATGGTAAGTTTCATTAATAGGGAACCTCTGATGTAAATTAACCAGGTTAGATTCTAGTTTTCTAATGAGCTAGAAAGAACATAGAATTTTGTGACAGTATTACACTGTATATCCATGTGAAAATAGTTCAATGAAGAAAAAGATATGATGTCATGTCTGTTCAATTTATAGGCTATGATGGAAGCTGGTGGGAATAAAAATTCTGCATTAATGGCAAAAAAGGCCCCAACAATGCCAAAACCACAGTGGCATCCACCCTGGAAGCTCTACAGAGTAAGTAGATTAGAAGTATATATTGCCAGATAAATAGTTTGTTAAATGTTGGGCTAGTTTGGATCGGAATAATAAACCATATGCTGAGGTTGTTAAAAGAATAAGCCTATTCAGACCTTGAGTTCAGTTACTATCACTCCTACTTCAGTGTGCTGCAGATAAATTGGAAGCATCTACAAATAAACTAACAACATTCTGCTTTTATTAATCATACCTTATCATTTCCATCTGGCAAGGACAGATTGAAGTTTATTGAAATGGTCAAGGTCAAATCATATTTTTTTTATCCTATCTTGGTCCAGTAAATCATAACTGAATTGCAGTTTCTGTGGTTCACTTAAACATTGAAGTAATGTTTCTAGTCACTTCTGTGTACCAGAGAAGGTAGCGAAGAGAGCTTGATGTAGAAACTCATTCTGAAGGTGAACAACTATTTTTAGTTCAAATAGTTTGGTCTTGTTTGGAATGCTATGGGCTGAACTATCAGAGTGAGTGGAGCTAAAAAATTTTTTTAAAAAGATGCCATTCTTCAGAACTTCCTGGAAGGATACTATAGAACTTCTTGAA